CTCCCGTGGTGAGGGAGGGATTAGGGCAGGAGCAGGGGCAGGCACTGCCCAGCCGTGGCGGGGCAAGGCAAGGGATCATGGCTTATCTGGGGGGCCACAGGGAGGGGAAGGGGGTGGCTCCCGCCTCTGTGTGTGCTCCCAGGGGAGGCCTGGGTGGCATGTGCCTCCCAGACCTGTGCGCGTGGCAAGGGTGGGCTGTCACTGCGGGCTGGGACTAGGGGAAGCGCCGGGCTCTTCCCCGGCCTGACCCCCCCACCAGGCTGTGCTTGAGGTGGGTGGTGGTGGTGCTGGGTGGGTGGTCAGGGGGGCTACGGTGAATTTGGCCCCCCCTCTCTACCGCCCCTGCCCACCCCAAGTGCAGCCCTGGCCCAACCCACCCTCCAGGAAGAGCCTGGTGCTGCCTCCAGCTTGCAGCAGCAGCCTGCCTTTGCCCTTGCCCTGCCCACAGATCCACAGGGCACATGCCTCCCCTAGGGGTGCACACAGTGGCAGAAGCCACCCCCACCCCCCATGCCTCCCGGACAAGCTATTCGGGGCTCCATCCTGTGCTCAGCTCTGGCTGGGCAGCGTTTTGTGCTTGGCTCTGGCTGGGCAGTGCCTGCCCCAGCCCTTGCCCCACTCCCTCCCTCTCTGCAAAGGCCTCAATGTACTGCCCCTCCCCACCTTCCTCCCAACAGACTTACTAGCTGGACGCTGCTCTCCAAACTGCTGGGCTTGCATATTGGCAATCGGATCGGTGTCAGCGGATATGGCTTGTTAATAATCAGTCACTGGTATCAGCCCTAAACGTCGTTATTAGTGTACCCCTATCTGCAGAGTTTAGGTACTTGTGAAAACCCCCTCAGATTGAAGGCATTGAACCTGGCTTTCACATTTACTGAACAAATATGCTCTAATCTAGAGTAGACTATCATAGTTAAAGCTACTTAAGATGTCTGCCTTTTATTAATTTTCTTTTCAATATTAAACATACTATTTAAACTGATTTGAAACATGCTTACAGATTACACATTTTGCTTTCCATACTTCATTATTGGTTTTTACTTTGTTACTCGGTGACCTTCCTCTAATAACAGCCTTGAAATTGACAGCACCTAGTTAGTTTTAGCGTTGCAAATAGTGCACAGCATTGGCCATGGTTGAGATGGATTACAAGGATTAATGGACTGTGACAGGAGTATTGCTACTGGAGCCTTTCTATTGGCGACTCCGCCCTCCTGTTATGGGCCAACTGCTTGCTTACTCGCCTGCCATGCCTTTATCTTGATTGATTAATTGATGGATGCAGTTAGCTGGAGGCTGCCCACTTTATGCGCCCCGGTGCCAGGGGGCGCTATCTGCGGCTCCTTTTTCCTCCCCTTCACCGCAGCCCAAGCCTCGCAGATGGTACTGACGTGCTTTTGACCTGGGCCCTGTTGTGACTCGGCCCTCTCCTTTACCTCCTTGGAGCTTCTCACTGGCCCCTTGCTCTGGGGCTGGGGTCAATGCTCCCCAAATGCTGTGCCCTCTCTGGCACCAGGGTCCCCACGCTACCGTGGAGCTCCTATGAGGCCTCCTCCAACCCCTAATAGCCTCACCTGGTCCTCTGGTGCAAAACAGCAAACACAAAAACACAAAGTCCCTGGGCTATAACATAAAAAGCTAGACCGTCCGGCCAAACAACATTCAGTCCCTTACCAGGAAAACACTCCAACCCCCAGCAGTGACCGGGGGCTGCTCACACAGTCAGGGTTCTCCCCTCTGTCTACCCTGGCCTAGCTCTTCCTCCCTTAGCCGCCAGAGGGGAACTGGCCTCCTGACTGGGCTTATATGAGCCAGGCCCTGCCCCTTCCTGTCAGCTGGCTCCCCAGCAGTTGTCCTGGCAACCAGCACCTGTTACTTTGGCTGCCCTGGTAAGTGGCAGCTGAGCCTCCCCCTTCTTGCCCTTAGGGTTCTCTCTGAGCTGTTTTCTGCTCTCAGGCGCAGGGCACCTGGGTGCTCTGCGACATGGACCATTGCATATATTGGGCACTTTTCTTATAGCCACATATAGCAGCCTCATTTGGCATAAATTGTATATATATACTGTAGTGTCCTCCATCTTGAATTATTGTAACTGTGGTTGCTGTGAGGTTAGTGTTTGTTTTTTTTTAAAGAAAGTCATTTCAAACTTCATATGTTCTATAAAATTTAAAAATGCTAAGACCTTACTTATTCATACACCACTGGAAATTTTAAGGTTTACTGGAGCTCCAAAATGATCAGAAATCAGTATAATATCTGCAAACTGTTACAAGTTATAACACTTATCTGGGCTTGAATACTATTGATTGACTATAAAACAGATCCTCTAAAATGGTTTTGTGAACTGGAAAATCTGAGTGTTTTTTAATGTAACACTTTAAAGCTTTTATTGGGCCATGTGGATGAATAGGAAGACCATTCTTTTACATCTGCCATCTACTGCAAAAGAGAAGTTTTGTTCAAAGAGTGGGGAAAAAAGCAAAGTATTTTGCTTTTTTTACCTTGAAGAATTGAAATCCATAGATGGTTTGATAAAGATAAGTTTAATAAAGCTGATTCTTTTATTGATTAGAAACTAGACACATGATTTTAGTAATATTTACCTAATTTTTCTTTGTAGTCAAAAAACTCTCCAATACTTGCACTGTTTCTTTGAAAGGAATGATTTCGGCAGACTTATTTGACTATGGTTCCACTGAAGTCAGTCTCTGTGTGAATGTAAGGTTCTGTGAAAGTGATTCTCTTTGCAAGTTTGGTATCTGATTTTCAGTTTCTTTATGTGCCTATTTTACTCTTGCAGTCAGATGAATTGACTAGTTTAGTTGTTGTCATGCTGTATGACTTCCAATATCGAAAGTTCCAAGCCCGACAGATTTCTGATGAAGAGGAGCCAATAGCTGAAGTCCAAGAAGTAGAGCATTATCTATACAGGTATATGTAAGATTAAAAGCTGTGCTAATATATATTGGGATATATAAAGAGTTTCATAACCAATGACAATAGGAATGCACTGGTGGAGATTTTGGAGGCCGATACCAAAAGCTGATATTTAAGGAGGCATATTAGCCAATACTGATCCAATATCTGATTTAGCTGCCTCCAGGTGGTAAGTCCAGTGTGGTGGAAGGGGAGGTGGAAGGAAGGGGTGTGGGGGGACAGATCAAGGAACACTTTGGTGAAGGAGGGGGCAGGGGCAGGCACTGCACAGCTGGGGTGGGGGGTGGCATGGGACAGTGCTGAACACCCTTCCTCCACCCAAGTGCTGGGAGAAGCTGGGGCTGCGCTGGGTGGTGGGCAGCAGGGTGG